TTTTTTTTTTTTTTTTGGTCTGTTTTGGTGAGCTGGATGGGGAAGGCAGTTTTAAATGCAGATTTGTCTTAAGGGAAGATGTACAAAGAGAATGCTTTCATGGTGAAAGAGGAGGAGGGAGTCCTCGGGTCCCCATGAGTATCACTTTCCCTGCAAGGTGTTTCCCCAGCTGCACAGAGTGCCCTCCCTTTGCTGAACTCAGAGTTGCTCGTGGCGGCTGGCAGAACCCGCAAATCGTTCAGTACCTCTTCTGCTGTGTGTTCTCCAGGGAAGAGGAGGAGCATGTCTGCTTTAGAAGTCATGCTTATTTCCTCCCCGGCTCAAAAATCCTTCCCTTGCACTCATCAGAGTGGGGGGCGGGGGCGGGGGGAAAGCTAAACATTAAATCTTACAGAGTTGATAGTTTAGAAACAGAATGACTCACCTGTCCAGTCATACAGATCTATCAGGACTTTTGTAAAAGGTGCTAAGAGAAATGTGAGTCCCATCCCAGAACGGGCAATAGCTGTAGAAAGAGCCAGTCGTTTTTTGAAGTATTTGGTAGTTACCACAGCAGCTGTTTGGTACAAGAAAGCAGCACCCAAACCTAAAAAACAAAAACAAAAAACCAATAGTGTGGAATCACATGAAGTGACTTGGTACCAGATGATCTATTCTCCCTGACCTGAGATGTAGAAGGAGGCCTTTGGGGCCCATGGACGAGACGGTAAAGTTCCATCTTGCATAGTCTGGTTTTTACGATGGACTCACCAGGTAAAAGTCCCATAGTCACACAAAGAAAGGGAATGCTAGTGGCCCAGCTGCTGATCAGATATCCACCAGTAACAAGGAGAGCCCCAAGAATGGAGGCAGTCTTCTCTCCGATTATGTCACAAATCATGGCAACCAGAGGTCCTCGGAAAAAGGAAGAAAGACAAATACTGGGTAAGTGCTTTGGCGTTCCTGATGCACAATTTAAAGCAACCGAAGGAAAAGGACTTGGGAGTATTGTGTATCCTTTAGAAAGGTGTCTGGATTGGGTTTCTTAATATTCTGTTTTGCTTTTTGGAAGAAGAGCTGTTTTGCTTTAAAGAGAATTGTAAATAAGCTGGTTTGAAAATGCGTTATAAAACCGCAACCTGAGGGGCGTTTGACAGGCTCTTTCGGAAGAGCATGCGACCCGATTTCAGGATCTTGAGTTTGAATGCTGTGTTGGGTGTAGAGATGACGTAAATAAATAAAACCTAACAACAGTAACACAAAATGGGATTGCATCTAGTGACTTAGAACTAGAACAGGGTTCAGTCATTAATCTACTCTACCATGTTTTAGCCCTAAATAGAAGCAAAGAAAGAGGAATTGGTTCTCTGTGTTGTTTTAAGTGTGCTTAGGTGATGGGCCCACAACTTCATGGCCTGATTTCCCAGAGAGACTGGCTCACTGAACCGTTGTTAAGGCACTGTGGAAAGAAACAAGGCATGAAAAATTGAATCATGGAAGTAAATAGTTGAATTCTTCAACTTTCTTTGAATCTTAATTTTTCTGATTTTGCCAAGGAGAGGCTCAACACTGCAAGCCCTGAACTTTTCTCAGTCTTGCCTGTTAATGAATTTGAGTTTTAGCAAGCTTCAATCTTAAATGACTGACAGATGAGTCTTCTTGGAATTTCCCTATGTGGTTCTTTTCCTTGGATGGCAAGCTTATGGTCAGCTTTATACCTGCAGAATAACTAATTGATGACATGATGGATCCAATCCAGCCAGTTTGCCTTGAGCTGCTTTCAAATTCTTCTTGGAAAACCACAAAGAAAATTGCAAACGTCTTGGTCATTCCCATCACAAACACATTTACCTAAATCAAAGCAGACCAAAGTTCGGTATGAGTGAGCCATTACAGAGAAGGTCACAGATGCTCATGTTGATGACCCCCCCCGCCCCACACCACCACCCCCAGCTCACCAGGATTTACCAATTTGTTTGAGGCTTCCTCATTTTATTATATTTTGTGGGGGCGGCCACCCCACAGAGTGTCAAACTACTTTATGCAAAATCTCTCATTTAATCCTCATTACAAGGCTATGGAATAGATGGTTTTTTGGAATGTGAAGTTTAGAGAGATTAAAAGTTGCTCAAGATAGGGATGCTGGAGGTGAGATTTGAACCCAGATAGACTGACTCCAGACCAACCACTCTACCGTCCTATTGGGATACCATCTGTTAGGGGCACCTGGCCAGCTCAGCTGGAGGAGCAGTGACTCTTGATCTCAAGGTCGTTTGAGCCTCATGTTGGGTGTAGAGATTACTTAAATAAGTAAAAATTAAAAAAAAAAAAAATCTGTTAAAGACCGCTAATTACAGTTACCTTCGTGAGAGAAGCACATTGGTCCAAGAGACGAAGAATTGTTCCCATCGGTTCTTAGATTAGCTTTGCCTTAACTTTGCTTAAACCGAGTACCCTTCCTCACTTGACAAGTAGGGTTACCATTCACTTTATCATCCTAATACAAACACTTGAGAGTGGAAAACAGCACTACTAATTTATGCCAGAGCAGCAAGGGTTAACCAGTTGGAGGGTCCCCTTACTTACGGTTGGTCATGTGCCCCATCCTTTTCTATTGTCCCACCTAACCCTCCTTGCCCACACCACCCTTCTCCCTTCTACTAGGAGGAATGTTCCTCTTGAGGTCAAGTTTTCTTTCTGTGGCCTCTTAACATTGGTTTCTGAGAATTCTGATTAGTTTGGGGGCAGTTGAAGATGAGTGGTCAGGAGGGGGAACTGGAAGGGAAGCCACTCAGCCAGGGTCTGCAGCCTCTCAGAGCCGAGCATGTGTGTCCACTGTCTCCAGGGGCTTCCTTGCTTCCGCTTTCTTTTTTGTCAGTGGCCTTGACTTTTCAAGGCCACTTTCTCAGCTCTCTGCTCTCAGCCTGGCATCACTTAAGAACCACAGACCCTGCTAATTCCACTTAGCTCTGTCCACGTGGCAAGTATCACCCCCTGTCGCTCTGCCCTCATCTCACTTTGTGCCCACTCCACAGACAGCCGGTCACTCAGGGTTTCTGAGTGTAATAGGTGTGAGCACTCTCCTGCAGTCAGCCTCTGTTGGCCTGCATCCTGGCCCCACTTCCAGTTAGGGATGTGACCTTGGGCAAACCGCTTCACAGAATTTAAGCGTTCTCTTTTGTAAAGCCGGGAGAAAGGAAATGTTACCTTGCTCAGAGAATAGGAAGATTGAGAAAATTCAGGTTCTTTATAGCATTTAATGCTCAAGCTGTTAGCTGTGATTTTGTTATCTTGCGTAGCCAACTGTATCTAACCCAGATCAACTCATCCAAAACTGAACTCCTCTCCCTTATCCCACGCCTCCTCTTTTCATTGGTACCACCCACTCACCTGCCTCCTCTTAGGCATCTCATTCCCTCAGCTAGTACATGCCAAGTAAGACCTTCCCCCTCTATCCCCTTCACTCGACCCTTGTTTCAGACGAGGATTATTTCTTGTGTGGACTAAGGAACTAAGAATCGGTAGTGTTCCAAGGTTGTGTTGCAAAAAGTTGGGCACGGTGAGAAGGCGGTCCCTTAGTGTATTTTTCCCATTCTGAGTTGATAGTAGCCACAAAATCCCCCTTATTTGGAGTGAACAATGCCATGGACACCTGGGCCGTACCTTCACAAGTGGAAAAGACATGTAATCAGGGTCTCATTCAGGCCGTTTGTAATCCTAATATTCCTCAAAGGTGCTTCTATCAGGAAACGAGGCTAGAGAACAAGAGCAAGCCTTGGGCGGCCTAGACTTGTTTTTCTCATTTCCAAGTGCAGGGTGGTGATTGCATCATCTCGTGAGCAAGGAACACCACGGTGAGGCATCATTCTGTAAAATGCCCTTCCTCTTTTTCTGTGGACCCGGGTCCTGGGCTGGCATCTACACGGGTGCTGACGTCTGCTCTTAGCCACCTGAATTTGGCTAGCTTCTTGTCCCCCAGTACAGGACCTTTCCTCTCTGGTCTGTCCTTGATGTGTGGGCGTAGCAGCAGTGGGTGGGTAGGACTTGTCTCATAACTGGCTCTGCGTTTTCACTGTGTGTCAAGAAAGCCAAGGCCACAGCCTTTGCATGTGCCCTGCCTCCCTCCCTCCCTCTCTCCCTCCCTTAACTTGTAACCTTCCAACTTTGTTTCTCTTGACTCCTATCTCAAAACTCTTTTTCCCAAGGTCTGGATTTTCCCTTCGTTATCCGAGCAGGCTAGGTTCTACTACGCCATCCCAGGCTCTCCACCAGCGTCGGGTGGGTTTCAGGCCTGGCCCAGAGTCCACCTCAGACACTGTGAATGGGCTTGCCCCCCAATAAAAGCCCCTAGAAATTCTGTGACTGACCCAGTCCCCTCATTTTCTTTGTATCTCTAAGAGCTCCCCCAACCCCAGTGCGCACGCAGTGAGAGCTCCCTCACCAGGTCCATCTGACTAGAGTATTGTATTGGGAAAGGGCACTGGATCAGCCACAGTGGCCCCTTTTGAATAGAGAGTATCAGGCTTTGTCAGAAATGATGGGGTAATTACTGTTTAATAACCACTTCCTTCTACCCTGGGTCCCTCTCTGTTATCACCCCAGCTCTTCCTTCCTTCCTGGCCTGCACAAACTTCAGAGGAGAGTCTGCTAGGCTCTCTCCACTTCCTCACATCCCGCCACTGGCTACCGATTCTTAGCGAGGCTACCGGAGTCTTCCTTGTCGCTGACCTAATGACCCGTCATTTCTGTGGCATCTGACCTCACGGCAGCACCTGTTCATCACTCCTACCTCCTGGACATTTCTGTCTCTGCTTCTGCATCGACGCTTCTCACTTTCCTCCGGGCTACTCTCCGCCCACCCTCTGACATCAATTTTCCCCAGGCTTCTGCCAAGTTGCTCTTCTTTCCCCTTCCTGGCCATTTTGCACCCCCTGCCCGTTGGCACAAGCCAGCCAACGTATGCCGATGACTCCCAGATTTCCGTGTGCACATCCTGTGCTCCACATGCGCGTGGGCTGCTGAACACATTAGTGGTTACATCACATGTCCCTCAGACTGTCCAGGATGAAGCGATGCAAGCATCCTCACATGTCCTTCCCTTGTGTCCTCCAGCTCAGTGAGTGACACCTGTCCTTCTCCAAGTTGCCCAAGCCACCAGCCCAGCACTCTGACTCCCTCTGTCTCTGACATTCAGTTACCATCCAAGTCCTATCAGTCTGTCTCCTCAATATTGCACAGATCTCTAGTTCATCCATCCTCATTGCTGTTGCCTTAATTTAGGGCCTTTTTTTCTCACCCAGGTTATTACAGCATCATTCCAGTGGATCTCCCTGCTTCCAGGCCTCTCCCCCACCATCATCCACCCTGTAGGCAGAGTTATTTTCCTAAAAGGCACATCTGATCCCATCATTTCCCTTGCTTTTGTTTTCATTAGCTCCTCAGCCTCAAGATGGAAACAACAACAACAAAAAACAGTGTTTTTAATATGCCCTACAAGGCCCCTGCTCATCTCTCCAATCTCATTATTCATCACCTGGTTAATTCATAAGTGTGTCCATCAGTCCCTCCATCCGTCTTACCCATCCACTGACAGGTATTTATTGAATGCTTACTATATTCGAGGCTGTTTATGAGGGGCTGGGCTTACAGTAGTGAGTATACGGTGGTGACCAAACAGACATGGCCCCTGCCCTTATGGGACATTCAGTCCAGCGAGACAGACTGAATACAGAAAAAAAATCATGCAAATATATAGTTACAAAGTCTGGCAAGTTCATTAGGATGAGTCCTTAATTTTATTTTCTTAAGATTTAAAAAAAATTTTAATCACTACACCCAACATGGGACTCAAACTCAACCCCAAGATCAAGAGCCACACACTCCACCCACTGAGCTGGGGCATCCTGAGAATGTGTCCTTTTTGTTAAAGTAGAGCACTCCCAAAGAATATTTTGTTACTGGATTTTTCTGTTTTGCTTTTCTGTTTTGTTTATTTTTGAGGGAGAGGGAGTGTGTGCATAGGCAAGTGGGGATTGCAGCTCAGGGCATGATCTCTAGTTCTGTGGGTTCAAGCCCTACATCAGGCTCTGTGCTGACAGCGTGGAGCCTGCCTGGGATTCTCTGCCCCTCCCTGCTCCCTCTGTCTCAAAAATAAATAAACATTTAAAAAAATAAAGTAAGCTCTACACCCAATATGGGGTTTGAACTCATGATTCCAAGATCAAGAGTCACATGCTCTACTGACTGAGCCAGCCAGATGCCCCTGTGCACTTGAGTTTTTAAACTCATCTCAAGGGCCTTTCTGTACCACTCTTTTATTAGCTGGTTAAAACACATAATTCTTGGGGCACCTGGGTGGCACAGTTGGTTAAGCGTCCGACTTCAGCCGGAGTCCGCGATCTGCGCAGTCCGAGTTATTGTACGTCCCAGCTCTGGGCTGATGCTTCGAACCCTGGAGCCTGTTTCCGATTCTGTGTCTCCCTCTCTCTCTGCCCCTCCCCCGTTCATGCTCTGTCTCTCTCTGTCCCAAAAATAAATAAACGTTGAAAAAACAAACAAAGAAAAAACACATAATTCTTAGGTTGATAATCTGAAAACACTTATAATAGGTCACAGGATAGACTATACAACTATTCTCATATAGCCACTAGTCACATGTGGCTGTTTAATACTAAATTTTAATGTAATTTTAATTGGGTGCTAATTAATACGTCAAAATATATTGGAGCTTCCTTTTCCAAATTAAGTGTGCATGCAGGGGACACTAAAGGCCCGGGGTGGGAGGACTTGGAAAAGGGGTATGGAGTTTGCACTTGATTTGAATGTGTTCCTGAGGGTGTTTGTATGAATGCATTTTGCACTTTGGCACCTTACTTTGTTTCAGTTGAGTTTCACTAAACTACAGTGAAACTCCCATAATATAGTTTCTCCGTTGCACTAGCCATATGTTCAAGTGCTTAATAGCTACCAGGTACTGGATGTTTCACTCCCCTTTCCAGGAATTCATCTATTGTAGAAAAGTATACTTGTAACTCACGCAGACCCCAAACCACACACTCCTTTAAGCATCTATGTACACTACTACAGTTAGTTAGCTGGAGTTAATTGTTAACATTTGAGGACTCGGTATATTTTTTTGTGATTTTATAAGTGACATCACACAGAAAAGTGGGACCTTAATTATCTGCTTATTAGACGGTTTTCTTACCGGCAACTAAATTGGTCAAGTCGCTTCTGTCCTCAGAGGATAATGTAGGAAAAAGTAGGGCTCATCACTGGGGAGAGAGGTGGGAGATCTGGAGACCCTCACCAGCAAGGCCAGTTCTGCAAAGCCTGTGATTTTCGGAGGTGGCCCAGCCACAGGGAGGGCTCTCGCACTAGGACATCCTTCATTTTCTTTTTTAATTTTTTTTTTCAACGTTTATTTATTTTTGGGACAGAGAGAGACAGAGCATGAACGGGGGAGGGGCAGAGAGAGAGAGAGACACAGAATCGGAAACAGGCTCCAGGCTCCGAGCCATCAGCCCAGAGCCTGACGCGGGGCTCGAACTCACGGACCGCGAGATCGTGACCTGGCTGAAGTCGGACGCTTAACCGACTGCGCCACCCAGGCGCCCCACATTTTCTTATTAGTACCATTTTGGGGAGGGGAAAAAAAAAGTCCACATTCTTTGGTAATGAAGCTAATGTTTAACAAATAGTCCTCCAGTTAGGAGATCTGTATTACATAACTTCTGGCTGAGGTCCTGTGCCCCTCCTTTCCCCTCTTGTCACTAAGGAGGAGGCCTGATGGTTTCCCATCGTCCTGCTTACAGAGTTCTTAGTTACCCCGTTGTGGTCTGTACAATTATTAGCAGTCACCAGGACCCGCGCTCCCATCTTTGTGAGCTGCTTCCCATAGGGCTAAGCAGGGGAGGAGGGTCAGGAGGGAAAGGATATCTCTGTGAGCACATCTGAAAGTTAACGCATTTGGGAGCACTGATGAGGAACTGTGGGGCTGGCACCGCGGTCACAGGCTTGTTTGGGGCACAGCTGGAATGGCGCCCTCGCATATTCTAGAATGAGATCGCCAGGCTCACGACAACCTGAAGAGCTTCTGGGAGGATCAGTTCATTAAAAAAGAGTGCCTAGTCCAGTTGCTTACAGATGAAGGATGTAAATCAAGCTCTAGTTTCAGAATCTCCATCTTCTCCTTTCCCAGACATGTCAGAAATAAACATTGGGGGGCGCCTGGGTGGCTCAGTTGGTTAAGTATCCGACTCGATTTCGGCTCAGGCCATGCGTGACCTCATGGTTCCTGTGACATGGAGCCCCGCATCTGAGCTGACAGCGTGGAGCCTGCTTGGGGTTCTCTCTCTCACGCTCTCTCTCTGCCCCTCCCCCACATGCATCCACACGTGTGTGCGCTCAAGCTTGCTCTCAATCAAAACAAACATAAAAAAAAAAAAGAAATACACACTGGGCCTCATAAGTTATGGTTGTGGGGATGGGTTGTGAAGCGGACAGCGGGCGGAACAGAGAGGAAATGTCCCCGTCCCCTAGGGGAGAGGGAGGTTGCTGCCACGTGTGTGCTGGGCGGAACTGGGAACCCACCCCAGTAGCACTTTTTGGCGCCTCCCAGTGCTACTTCCGGGGTGCTTAACTGTATGGTTGCACATGTGGCCAGGGCAGAGCTGAGGATGGTGGCTAGGGTACTCTGGGCTTCGGGATGATAGTGAGGAGGAGACTGGAGGGGGAACACTTGGGCCTTCACTCAAGGGGACCGTTTTCAACTTTCTCCCAGGTTCGGTGTGGGCTGCTGACTTTGGCAGCTGTTGGCAGTTCCTAGCTTTGCTCTGAGCCTTTCCCCCGAGAGCTCTCTTTCGAGCAATAGGAAAGGGGAAAGTAAATTCTTACCAGGAAGAAATGAAATGCAACCATCCATCCCCAACCTCCATCCAGGGCTTTAGTGTAAGGCCGGGCCTTCCCTGCCCTCCACCGCATGATGGTCGGTCTCTGTGACAAATCCAAGGCAGTTGATTCAGTTGACAAGAAACGGATCTAAACTTGTAAACTTTATTTTTCTCCGTGATACAGAACCACTTGTAATTTCTTTTAGCCCTCCCCTTTAAAGACGGATGACGTCCTCATTTCTAAATTGTGTGTACATTCCCTGATCTCAGCCTCAAAAATGCAAACAGGACTTTGTACCATCTTTGGAGATCTTTCTAGAGGCCTGCTGCCTAACTTCACCTGGCAAGCCCAGATGGCTTTGACAGTTCTCTTGGCCTGTGCCCTTAGTTACCTACCAAGTCTGCCGGACTGTAATATCTCCTTATCCCTGTTTATTCCATGGTCACAATCCAGGCAGAACCATGGGAGAGGGGAGAAAAAGCTAATGAAAGGCCGCGATTTGAGGGACATCAAAGTCACCACAGAGATCTCTCTTCCACCACTCAGTTTATCTCAGGGAGGAATTGCGAACAAGTTATCTGCAAAGGCTGACCTCACTGGTTGTAGGGTGGCCCGCTCATAGCACTGTCCTCTGTGGCTGTTCTCCCCCTTGGCCTGTGAGCCCCATCCTAGGGGAAGCTCTATGTTATTCTCTGCTCCTCTTTAGAGAAATAAGAAACGGACGGGTAGCCTCGGGTTCGGGAATTCTCTTTGCAAAACAATTGCTGAAATGAAAATATTCTCAGGGACTAAATAGACGTGCCAGCAAACCGCAATGACTGTTCCTCGAATGAATCCTGGACCAGAAAAAAGGCTGGAAGAGTGTTTGGGAGGTCACTTGTTTATGGACTTTACAGTCGACAGGGTTAAATCTGAGTATGAGGGGCTCCTGGGTGGTTCAGTAGGTTAAAGTCTGACTCCTCTTGATTTCGGCTCAGGACGTGAGCTCATGAACCGTGATATCAAGCCTCCTTGGGGTTCTTTCTCTGCCTCTCCCCTTCTCATGCTTTCTCTCTCTCAAAATAAATAAACTTAAAAAATCTCTTAAGTGTGATGGTGATCTTATGGTTCTGCGAGAGAATGAATGTTCTTGATCTTAGGAGGTGCCTGGTAGAAAGCACTCAGGAGTAAAGTATCATAGAGTCTGCTGTTTTCTCACAAAAGCTTCAGTTA